ATGTAAAATGGTGATACATGACCATACCTCTCGTCAAATTGTGAGGACTGAATGAGTGAATATAAAGTGTTAGAAGTGCCTAGCACATGGTAAATGTTTAACAAGTGTTAGGTACTGTTACTGGCATTTCACCATCAGCTGTGCCCTTGCAGGCCAGCATACAGCGTGGGTAGAGGAGCTGGCTTTGCCCTCATGTCTATCATTCACCCCCAAGCCCGCAGGCAGGGTGATATGTGCAGGGGGGACTTGTGTGGAGTAGGAAGGGTAGGAGAGATTATGCAGCCCAGATGAAGGGCAGCTGGACCTACCCAGCTGGGAGGGGCGCTGGCTCAACAACCCAGGGGCCGGTGTGCCTCGGTGGTGGTGGGTCTAGGCATGCAGCCACCTTCCCCAGTGTGAGAACTATGCAGCCCAACAGGGCCCTGCACTCAGAAGGGCCTCACTTGTGGTTTAGTGCTTGGAATTCTTACTAATTCTTATTTTTCTTTTTAAATTTTCTTAGCAACTTTTAAACAAGGGGCCCACTTTGCACTGGGCCCCACCAATTATGTCACCAGTCAAGGGTTGGGGATATGTGAGCAGGCGTCTGGGTGTGTATGTGAGGTCACATGTGGCTGAGTTACTGACAGGTTCCTGGACTCTGTAATCTACAGCAACTGATAAAGAGGCCAGATGAGAAATTCAGGCAAAGTTTTACTGGCACTTGTGCTGCAGCAAGAGGGAGCAAATCAAGAAACAGGTTCCTTTGCTCACTCCCTGAAGGAGGGCAAGCTGGTTCCTTAAATGCGGTGAGGGTAGGGGTGGGTTCATGGGTCGGGTCAGAGGGGTGGCTTGGGTAGTCTGCTCACCCCCCTTGGTGGTGCTGTGTGCAGGGACCATGCACAACACCCTGCTTTTTGCTCTTGACACCTCAGATGTAGCAGCTGGGTTTCTGGCCTTTTTGTATCTTGTTTTTCATAATTTGCCCAACAGTGCATGTACACAGTTATTTTTAGTCTCTTACAGTTTGTATTTTTTCGCTTGAGGAGAAATTTGTCCAGGTATAAGCACTGCAACAAAGGGTCTCAGGTCCCTGATCCCAGCAGTGTGTGTCTGAGGTGTCTCTTCCTCTGGACTTGGGGACTAGAATGCTGGTCTTTGTGAGAATTTCAGAAATACACAAAAGAGCTACAAAAAATATCTTCATGACCCAGATAATCACGATGATGTGATCACTCACCTAGAGCCAGACATCTTGAAATGTGAAGTCAAGTAGGCCTTAGGAAGCCCTCACTATGAACAAAGCTAGTGGAGGTGATGGAATTTCAGTTGAGCTATTTCAAATCCTGAAAGATGATGCTGTGAAAGTGCTGCACTCAATATGCCAGCAAATTTGGAAAACTCAGCAGTGGCCACAGAACTGGAAAAGGTCAGTTTTCATTTCAATCCCTAACAAAGGCAATGCCAAAGAATGCTCAAACTACATTTTGAGTTTGATTGCACAATTGCTCTCATCTCACATGCTAGTAAGTAATGCTCAAAATTCTCCAGCCAGGCCTCAACAATGTGTGAACTGTGAACTTCCAAATGTTCGAGCTGGTTTTAGAAAAGGCAGAGGAACCAGAGATCAAACTGCCAAAATCTGCTGGATCATCGAAAAAGCAAGAGAGTTCCAGAAAAACATCTGCTTTATTGACTATGCCAAAGCCTTTGACTGTGTGGATCACCACAAACTGTGGGAAATTCTTAAAGAGATGGGAATACCAGACCACCTGAACTGCCTCTTGAGAAATCTGTATGCAGGTCAAAGAAGCAACAGTTAGAACAGGACATGGAACAACAGACTGTTTCCAAATAGGGAAAGGAGTACATCAAGGCTGTATATTGTCACCCTGCTTATTTAACTTCTATGCAGAGTACATCATGAGAAACACTGGGCTAGATGAAGCACGAGCAGAAATCAAGATTGCCGGGAGAAATATCAATAACCTCAGATATGCAGATGATACCACCCTTATGGCAGAAAGCAAAGAACTAAAGAACCTCTTGATGAAAGTGAAAGAGGAGAGTGAAATAGTTGGCTTAAAGCTCAACATTCAGAAAACTAAGATCATGGCATCTGGTCCCATCACTTCATGGCAAATAGATGGGGAAACAGTGGCTGACTTTATTTTGGGGGGCTCCAAAATCACTGCAGATGGTGACTGCAGCCATGAAATTAAAAGACACTTGCTCCTTGGAAGAAAAGTTATGACCAACCTAGACAGCATATTAAAAAGCAGAGACATTACTTTGCCAACAAGGATCCGTTTAGTCAAAGCTATGGTTTTTCCAGTGGTCATGTATGGATGTGAGAGTTGGACTGTGAAGAAAGCTGAGAGCCGAAGAATTGATGCTTTTGAATTGTTGTGTTGGAGAAGACTCTTAAGAGTCCCTTGGACTGCAAGGAGATCCAACCAGTCCATCCTAAAGGAAATAGGTCCTGAATAATCATTGGAAGGACTGAGGCTGAAGCTGAAACTCCAATACTTTGGCCACCTGATGTGAACTGTCTCATTGGAAAAGACCCTGATGCTGGGAAAGATTGAAGGCAGGAGGAGAAGGGGATGACAGAGCTTGAGATGGTTGGATGGCATCACTGGCTCAATGGACATGAGTTTGAGTAAACTCCAAGAGTTAGTGATGGACAAGGAGCCTGGCGTGTTGCAGTCCACAGGGGTCACAAAAAGTTGGACACAACTGAGCAACTGAACTGAACTGAACAAGGAGGTAACCACCCCACCCCAGGCACAGGGAATAGCCTGTCTTCAGTTTCTCCCTACACCCCTGAGCCCACACTCACGCCCCAACCTCTGTCTCTGAAAAACTCCAGTGTCCCACAGCACCCCTCCTCCCACCCCTGCGGGAAGATAGGAAGGACAGTGGACCTTCTAGATCACCAGTCCCAGGGAGAGAGAAGCGGAAGCCATGCTGGCTGGGCTAACATTGTGCACCATCATCTCCACATGTGTCACCTCTGTCCTCCCTACCTCCCCAGACCCAGAGATCAGGGAAGGGTCAGTCTCCCCATTTCCCAGGTTGCTCTGTACCTCTTGATCAGGGCTTCTTATGGAGCGAAGCTGAAACAGGTGATCAGGAGTCCCTGTTTTGGGTCTGGCTTTGTCCCCAACTCATTCTGGGACCCTGGCTGCCCTCCTGGGAACCCCAAAAAGTTGGATGTTATAACCCCTAAATTCTTTTCAGCAGTTGTTATCTTACTGACTCTTGGGTTCTCATGGCCTGTGACGGCCACTCTTGGCTCTACACAGTGGGACCCTGACCCCAGGCCAGCTCCAAGCCCCTGCCCAGTCTGACCCAGACAGTCACTGACTCCAGGATCTGAGAGCACTCAGTCCCCTCAGACAGATGGGAAAGTGTGGTCCTGAGAAGGAATGTGGTGGCGGTGGTGTGGCCTCTAAGTTGTATCAGACTCTTGTGACCCTGTGGACTGTAGCCCACAAGCCTCCTCTTTCCATGGGATTTCCCAAAGAATACTGGAGTGGGTTGCCGTTTCCTTCTCCAGGGCATCCTCCCGACCCAGGGATCAAACCCACGTCTCTTGCATGGCAGGTAGATTCTTTACCACTGGGCCATGAGGGAAGCCCCTGAGAAGAAATAAAACACACCAGTTTAGTTGCAGACCACAGGCTCAGAGTAAATCTTCCTGCCAGACCACCTCGCCCCACCCCACCGTTTCCAAGCCTCTGATGCCACACCCACCATCCCTGTCTCGAATTCCAAGCAGGATTCCATCTCTCTTGAGAAACCCAGCGCCAACAGCACCATCTCCAGCCCCACCTCCATCTTTCCTCCAGTCACAGAGGGTTTAAGGGCATCACTGCATTCATCCCTCATCATACAGATGGGGAAAATGAGACCTAGAGAGGGGCAATGGCTGCTCCAGATCACCAGTGGGGGTACCAGGAGCCTCCTGACACCAAATCTTGTGGCTCCCCTTTATTTCCCATCTCATCCTTTAACGTGGGACTCCAGACCCAGTTAAGCATCCAGAGACCCTGGAATCCAAATCCCTCCCTCCAGCACAGGGACCCCAAGGGGGCAGGGAGCACTCTATCTTTGGGAGTGGGGCTGGGACAGAAAGGTAGCCCGGGATGGGCTCTGCCTCTTCTTTGCCAAAACTCCTTAGACACCCATCTCCCCACCACCATCTCGCCCCCACCTCCAGGCTGCAGAAAGAACAGGCAGGGTGGGGCAGCCAGCCCTGCCAGGCCCAGAGACCCAAGTGTCCACCCTGGCACTCTTTGCATCAGCCTCCCCGGCCCCCTGGATGACATAAGTCTTCCCGGCTTCCACCAGTCCAGCTCCCTTTCACTGTTTCATCTCCTGGACTTCTACCTAAAAATTTGTTTGCAGTGTTCTCTGTTGCAAAATGGCTCTCAAACCACATAGCCCCCTCATGCTATTCAGATGGGGAGACAACTCCAGAAGGCAAGTGGTTTGTCCCAGGTCACAGAGCGGAGGGTGCCTTGCCTGGGACCCCTCTCCTGCCTCCCAGGGCATGTCTTTCTGCCCAGGGCTGCCTTTCAGATCTTCCCCTAAGCAGAGTCTGGAAGCGTGTGTGTGTTTGGGGCGGCAGGGAGCAGGAGGCGTGTACAGGGCTTCATGAAGGCCAGGGGTGGGTGCCGGGTCAACCAACGAACTCTGACAGCAGACTTGTCTTCTGTGGGGGACTATTGGTGCCCTGGAAGGGGACAGAGGGATCAGTGAGGCACAGCGTCTGCCCTCAGCAAGCTCTGCATCTGGGCCTGAACATGGGGAACACGAGTCCCTCCAAAGCTAACTCTAGACACCTCCCCACTCACACTAAGCTTCCCATCCCTGCCCACGGGCCCTCAACCTTACCACCCTGCCTTTTTCCTGAAGTTGCTGTATCTTCTCCCCACTTCTCCCTCCCACCCCAGTCCTTCTTGGCTCTCCTCCTCTCCCTTCCACATCAGTGTTTATCCCACCCTGTTTCACAGTCAGCAGCCTGGGAAAAAAGAGCACAGGCCAAACAAGGGAAGAGGTAGGACAGGCAAGTGGCCCAGCAGGACCAGACTGCAATGCCCCCACTTTCCAGGAGGGGGCGCACTGTCGTCCACAGCCACCCATCCCTCCTGGAGCTCAGCCCTGCAGGTGCAACCCAGATTCCAGAGCCAGGACAGACATGTCCTCTTCACAGTCACGTGGCAGGAAGGCAGGGATAAGTGATCCCCAGCTTCCAAATGGGAAGACCCAGGTCCAGAGAAAAAGGGTAATGATGGACACCTGGAGTCACACAGCAGGTATGAGGCGGAGTCCATGAGCTCTGCTTCTTCAAGTACCATGGACTCAAAACTACCTACCTCCTCCTGGTCCTGGCCAGATCTACTCTTGCGAGTGGGACTCCATGCTGGGATGCTTCTGGAGCTCCTGGGTCCAGGGGTAGTTTTTCTTGGCCCATGTATTCTTGAATTTTCTCCAAGATTGACCTTTCTTTTCCCAGGACCCCCCTGTCCTGCTCCCAGTATCCTCTGCCTCAGCTAAACCATGTGGTTTAAAGGGGCTAAATAGTCCTGGGTACCCCAGATATACATCAGCCCCCAGGGGGATCTCAGCTCTGCCAGGGGACTCAGGCAGCACCTGTCCCCCAAACACTCCCTTCTCTTTGGCTTCTGCCAAAGACAGCCCTGGGCCTCACTAGGTACCAGGCTCTGCTTTAAGACATGGTGTATTAGCTCACTGAACCCTCAGCTGAGGCACAGAGAAGGCAAGTGACCTGCCCACATGGCCAGTGAGTGGCAAAGCAGGACTTAAAACTCAGGAAGTCTGATTTCAGAGAAAGACTGTTAACCACTGTATCAGAGACCTCTGGCCCCCTGACACCCATTCTCCCCTTTTTCTAGACTAACAGGCAGTCCAGAATAATGACCACGTTTCTCAGTCTCGCTTGCACATGGATGTGTGGCTAATTTCTAACCCGGGGAGAGGAGATGTGTGTAGCTGCCAGGTCATGCCTTTAATTAGGACAGGTGTGTCCACTCTGCTTCTTCCCTTCCGGCTGTCTGCCAGCATGGCTGAGAAGACCATGATGGCTGCCACAGCCTCCACACAAGTGCCAGAAAACTCCTCCCTTAATATGAGTCAGAGCATGGTGCTGCCCTGCCCCAAAACCTTCAATGGCTTCCCATTCTTTTAGAAGAAAAGCCACTTCCTCCATGGTGGGCAAGACCTTCTCCTGCCTAGCCCTAAGCTATCCTCCCTTCCCAGATCAATCGGCAGGAAAATCTCACCCTAGTTTAACTCTCCCCACTTCCCCTGCTTTCCCACTTCCTCTCCCCACACCCCGCAGACTCTAATGTATTCACCAAGACCCAGCCCAAAGGGTAGGTGGGCATTATCTATGCCAAGCCTTTCCGGGCCCTACTGGCAGAATGGGCGGCTCCCTCCTGTGGGTTCTCACGGTCTGTGTACAGCCCGCTGGAATAGTGACAGTCTTTCTGTATTGTCATAATCTGTAGATGCACCCACTTCTCCCATCTCTCAAGAATGAGAGTTAAGTCTGGGATATCTGTTGGTTGTCAGTGACCTGCACAGGTCCAGGCATCACACCAGTGGCAGTCAGGTTTAATGAGTGAGAGAGAGAAGGATACAGGGTGTGAGTGCGTGTGTGTGGTGTATGTGGGTGCCCTGAGTTGGCTGAAGGCCCAGGCCTCGGAGACAAGGAGAACGCCTAGGAATAGCCCTGTCCCAAGCCCCAGGCCTACTCTTGCCTGGAAAATCCCATGGATGGAGGAGCCTGGTAGGCTGTAGTCCATGGGGTTGCTGGGAGTCGGACACGACTGAGCGACTTCACTTTCACTTTTCACTTTCACGCGTTGAAGGAAATGGCAATCCACTCCAGTGTTCCTGCCTGGAGAATCCCAGGGACAGGAGAGCCTGATGGGCTGCCATCTATGGGGTCGCACAGAGTTGGACACGACTGAAGAGACTTAGCAGCAGCAGCAGCAAGCCCCAGTCCAGGCCTGGTGCCCAGATAGACTGACCCTGAGAAAGGAGGTGGGGGCCCAGGATGGGTGGGTGGAGAGGTGTGGCTCCAGCAGGCTGTGGCCCTGCTGTCCTCTAGGGTCTGCTAGCCAAGGCAGACAGGCCCTGCCTGCCTGTTGTCAGGCATCCTGGCACTCGGATTTCAGTGACCGCCCCTTCAGTGACCAGCAAGTATTTCAGGCTGGGGCTAAACATCACCTGCTCCCTTGGCCCCACAACTTGTAGGGCAAAGGGGAATCTACCAGTCTATCCACTAAGGAGGGGCAGGGTTGGGGCAGAGATGCTGGAAAAGTTTGTCCCCTCATCCCTCTAGCCCCACCTCACCCTCTTCCCCACTTGGATGTTCCCTTCTTGAACTACTGACTGTCAAAGGTTGAAGGATTAAAGAGATTATCTGGTCCAACTCCTGCCATGGAGTTGGGGACACAGAAGGGAAAAGACGTCCAAGTTTGCAGAGCAAGACAGGGCAAAGATGGTCACAGGGAAAGGCAATGTAGAATAGTAGTTAAGTCATACAAACTCTGATGCTGAAGCTCCAATACTTTGGCCACCTGATGCAAAGAGCTGATTCATTGGAAAAGACCCTGGTGCTGAGAAAGACTGAGGGCAGGAGGAGAAGGGGGCAACAAAGGACGAGATGGTTGGGTTAAATGGCATCACCAAATCAATGGACATGAGTTTGAGCAAACTCCAAGAGGTGGTGAAGGACAGGGAAGCCTGACGTGCTGCAGTTGATGGGGTTGCAGGGTTGGACATTACTGAGCAACCGAACAACAACATACAAACTCTGAAGGAAGTATGCCTGGGTCCAAACCCTCACTCTCATGTGTAAACAGGTGATGGGGAAAATGCACCTACACCCCTGAATCGTCGTTAGGGTTGTAAGAGCTGAAAGACAGAAAGTTGTTAAGTCCAGTGCGCAGCACTTAGTAAGGGCTGCACGGACTTTAGTGGTCATCTTCTGCACCACACTTTACAACACACCAAGCTTCTCTACACCCAGTCTGGTTTCCCCCCTTCCGGCAACCCTGAAAGGTAGATATTACGAGCCCCATCACACACAGGAGACAGGCACAGACACTGACAGGCCAACTTCACATGGCTGATCCGTCTCAGCTGCCCACCAGTGGTCTTTCCATATCCAGCCCCCTGCCTCCGACAGTTCACACACTGGTTCATCAAATAGAGGTGACGTGGCGAGCTGGCCCTTGGCTCCTGGCGCCTCCCCGGGCTCGTCTTACCCCTGCACTGGATGACCCCGGTGCAGGGAAGGCTAACGTGCTCATCTGACATCCCTCCTGCCTCTGATCCCAGGCTTCTAATTCTTAGTCTTGCCACCCCCCACCCCAGAAGGGGAAACTGCTTGCCACAGGCTCTGGTCCTGGTCGTCCCCCAGCCAACCCAGCCCTTCCCACAAAAGACTCTTTCCTTTTCCTATCTGGTGTCTCTGTTCACTACAGACCTCAGGGGTGCTGCCCCTCACTGACTCCCAGCCAACCCCAAGATCCCAGGCACCTCAAAAAAGGCCCAGCCAGGCTGACAGCCTTGGCTCTGTATCTGCTTTCTGGAACATGCCTGGCCCCAGACTCCCGAGGCCAACAGCAACTCCCTGCCAGGCCCCCTGCCGTGGCCTGCCAGCTCTCCTCACCTAAGAACACAATCCAGCAGTCACATGTCTGCACCAGCCAGGTTCGCTGGGCCTCCTGGAGCTGCTGAAACTTCCCAGAATCTTGGGCAAGCTACTCCTGAATGAAGTGCCCTCGAGGGAGTGACCATTGAACCACCTGTTTGGCACCAGGTCACATGGCACATGACACGACCCAGAACTCAGGGTGGTGTGAGGTGCTGTTTCGTAAGCACTAGGTTTACCTTTCTAATTATACTTTACTTAATCCAATTTTAATCATCTGTAATTTTTCAGAGGCACATTTTCATCTGGGGAAGGAGCCAGGAGCAAGTCTGGGATCTGGTTTATTTCCTGGGAGCCTGCCTGTCCCCAAAGAGACTCAGGCTACACCGATGTGTCCAGAAGGGCACTTCTCCCCTGAGAGGACTTGGGGCCCTACTCTATACCGGAAATGGCCCTCAGGAATGGAATGAGAAAAGAAAGAGGACAGGAGATGGGATACTTTGGCAGGAAGAAAGTTGAGAGCAGTCGACAAGGTGGGGGTGGGAGGGGGACTTTTCAAACAGAGAGAATACTGACGAGGACAAGTGGCTTTCTTTGCTCAAGAGAGCTCGTTTGTCTGCTCTTCAAAGCCTTGCCCGTCCCTGCACCAGGACCTGTGGGCACAGGGGGAGCCTTCACAGGGTTTCTGGTTTAACAGGAAGACAGTGTGTGTGCGTGCCACATCGCTTCAGTCCCGTCCGACTCTTTGTGACTGCATGTACTATGTCCCGCCAGACTTCTCTGTCCATGGGATTCTCTAGGCAAGAATACTGGAGTGGGTTACCGTGCTCTCCTCCAGGGGATCTTCCTGACCCAGGGATTGAACCCAAGTCTCTGATGTCTCTGGCATTGGCAGGTGGGTTCTTTACCACTAGCGCCACCTGGAAAGCCTCAATAGGAAGACAGGTTCTGAAGCAAAAGGATCCCATGAAATTAGGATAAGTGCTATAACAGGGAGGTTTAGGGCTTCCTAGAGGCAAAGAGAGTTAAGCTTAAAAGCTGAAAAGTGAACAGGCATTAACTAAAAGAACAGGGCCTGGGACTTCCTTGGTGGCCCAGTGGCTAGGACTCCACACTCCCACTGCAGGGGGCCTGGTTTCAATCCCTGGTCAGGGAACTAGATCCCACATGCCGCAATTTAAAAAATAAAAATAAAAAAAGAGATCCCACAGGCCACAATGAAGATTGAAGATTTTGTATGCCGCAACTAAGACCGGGGGCACCCAAGTAAATAAAACTTGGGAAATAAAATAAAAAAGAGCAGGGCCTGGGATGGAAGAGTATTCCAGGCAGATAGCAAGTGAGAAACATGGTGCCCCTTCAAGGCACAAAAAGGGCAGAGAGGCTGCTGTGTAGGGCCCACAGCATGGGGGCTGCTGAGAAGAGAAATAATTAACCTTTGTAATTGCATTCCCAATCCAACCTTATCATCCCAGAGTCCTTGGGAGGTCAGCTGGGTGGGGACTGCTTTTTGCATATGGAGATAGAGACCCAGAGAGACGGTGATCTAAGCCAAAGTTAGTAGGTAAATAACAAGGGCAGGATAGGAATGCGAGCGAGTCTCACTCCTGAGACCCTAAAGCTGGGGAGTCAAACAGATTCACTCACTCACTCATGCGTTCATACACTCACTCCCTCAGTGTTCAGTAGTCATTCATTCATGCCTACTATCTGCCAGGCATGCCTCCTAGAGCAGCACTTAAGCAATAAATTATGCTCATGAAACAAATGAGATAAGGCTAAAAGAGTTTGGGCTGATTCTACCAGCAACAGGGAGGACAGCCGGTTTCTGAGAAGGAAGAGTGACTGCCCTCCACCAGGAGCTGCATCCCATCCGCCCCACCCCACCCAACCTCCCACAAGAGCCATTGTTCTCCTTCCAGGGAGCACTCTGCCACAGGCAGCAGTTTCTCAAAAGCAAAGCAGTGTTGAGTAAACCTCTGTCTTCTGCCATCATTTGTTCTCTCAGACTCACAGTGTCTAGAACTCTAGGGGAACCAGGAAGTGATTTCCCAGTGACAGAAAGAACACTCCATTCCTCCCACCGTGGCAGCTGTCCCCCCGGCACTGTGAGTTCAGGGAGTGCAGAGCTGTGGCTCTCCTGTCCCCCCTGGGTCCCCACTGAGCCCAGCACAGTGCTGGGCACAGGCAATGCTCAATTTATTTAGAGACAGACAGAAAGGGAGAGATGAGGACACTCCTCTGCAGCATCTGAAGGCCCCCAGTGACATCAATGAGGAGAAATAGATATATTTGGATCCTCTCCTATGGGTCTCAAAGAGCCTTGGTTTATTCTTGAGCACTGCTGGGTCAACTGCCCTGGGGAGGAGACCCCGAAAGAAGGTGTGGGGGTGTGGTCACCATTCATTGTTAGTGTGTGTGAGGCTTACCATCTGTTATTTCTTTCCATCCTCATGACAATTCAGAAAAGTAGATGGCCTCCCTCCATTTGGAAAGAAAGGAGATTCAAAAGGGGGAAGGCAGACTAGTTCGGGTCTCTAGCTAGTAAGTGGCAGGCTTGGGATTTAGGAGCCAGGCCTCTTCCCAAAGATACTGCTTCTGAACAGACCATGCAACAAGGGAGGGGCATGTGAGTGCAGAGGGAAAGTCTGTCTAAGACTTGATTTAGTGGCAGGCAGAGGCAGAGAACCCCACCACCATAACGAGCCAAAAAGGAAAATTCCCAGTTATCGGGGGTGGGCTGAGGGTGGTCAGCATCCACAGACTTCGGCCCTGAAGGGGCAAAGGGAGGGTCTCCACGTCCCTGGGTCACTGGAGCCTCCGAGCTCAGCTTCTTTGGCCTCTACCTCTTGCATCTCTCCTATGCCAGCAGCACATCCCCTAGCGGAGGCGTCCAGATGGCAGGGAGGGCCAGGGAACAGCTGAAGATGCTGAGTAGGCCTCCGTCGCCCGCCTTCCCATGGCCCCACGGATCATCCGGCGCTGCCGGCCCATCTCATTGGTTCTCTCCTGGTTACTCATCTCTCCTCTTCTCCATCTTTCCAGCCTGTGGTTGCTGTGGAAACAGAACAGTGACATCACTATAGGGCGAGGGCTGGGGTGATGCTGCTCTTGGCAGGGACTGGTCCCTGCTGCCTGCTAGATGTTAAATCCACATCTGGATTTACCAAGGGCAACAAAACGGGGGGACAGGAAAAGGGACAGGGCTCACACATTCCCTCCCCTTGCCCCGCTTTCCCCCAGTGTAGTGAGCACAAGAGGGTGGGGAGGATGCAGGTAATGAGAGGGATAAGGAGAAGGCTGCATATACCTAGAAGGGAGGATAAAAGTCATGTGGGAAGGAGACAGGGTGTGGCTTGGGAGTCAATTCCAGTGAGCCAGGTCTGAGCATGTCAGGTGCTGGGCGGGCAAAGATGGGGTAGAACTGCGAGAATAATGGGTCTGGGGTTTGTCTAGAGTTTCTCAAAGCACAGCTTAGACAGGGCCCACGAGAGGATGCAAAAGACTTCTGAAGATCTCAAGAGCCCCCTCCTCACAGCTACAGCAGTTTCTAATCCTGTCTCATAAATAAGAAAACTGAGGATCAGAGAAGCAAAGCAATCTGCCTTGTGTGGCCTGGCAGGTCAGGAGCAGATCTGAGAGCAGGTCTCAGGAGTCCAGAATTAACCATGGAGATAATAATAATTATCCTATAATGATAATAACAGCAGCAGCATTGAACACTGATTCAGTCTACCCTGCTTAGCATTTTAAATGTATTTAAGAGCCTCCAACACCTCTGTGTGGTAAATACTGTCATTTCCCCCATTTTGAGAGGAAGCTGAGACTCAGCGTGGCTTAAGTGAATTGCCCACATCCACATAGGCAGCACCCACTGGAATCAGAACTGGAACCCAGATTTCTCGGCCAGCAGCTGCTCACCCAGCCCCAGCTGTCAGCACTGCTTTATAAAGACCATGTAGGGAGAGCACTCTGGCCCCTGGCTCTCCGGCCACTCTGTGTCTGAGAGAGGAGGCGGCCCTGTGTCTAAAGGTTGTGACCTTGGGTTAGAAACCAGCTCGATCCCCTTCTCCTCCTGCACCTGCTCCGGCAGTGAGGTCACTGGGGCTTGGTGCCCAGCCCTGAGGCCTGTCCCTGCAGCTTTGGCAGAAATAGGCCCGCTCAGTTCTGGCAAGTGGACCTGTCCAGCAGAACCAAGAACTTGGGGGAGAAAGGGCTCTTCCTCCCTGGCCTGCTTCCCAGAACATTAGGGGAAGAGAGGCAGATGTTCTCCACTTCCACATAGAGAAGCAGAGGTCCAGGGAGGTGGCCCGCCACACTGTACAGTGTGTGGCCGAGCTAGAGGGATCCCAGGGCTCCTGGGCCCCACCCTGCAGATTTCTGCTGGTTCAAGTGCAGTTGGGCACCATTCCCTTCTGTTTTGCGTTTTCCTTCGTAAGTGCGTGTCATGTTCCCAGTTGTCTCTCCAGAGCCTAGCCCAGGGCCTGGCACAAAGTAGGTGCTTTAATAACTGTTGGATTAAAAAATGAAAGGATTCCTCTAAACCTCAAGTCTGCTCCTTTGTAAAAGGGATAATAATAACACCTACTTCAGGAACTTGGTTTTAAAAGTTCAATAAGACAATGCACTTAAAGCCCCCAACATGCAATAAACAGCAACACAAGGTGGATCTTATTATTAAAAGTGCTTTGGAAACTGTAGTGTCAAACAAGGTAGATGAATGCCAGTCTCTGAAAGTGCAGGCTGCCTGTGGAAGGCTGCCTGCCAGTGGAAGGTCAGAGAAAGGACGGCAGCTGGGGGCCAGCGGCAGTCAGGCAGAACGGAGCTGTCCTTGAGCCTTGAAAAGCCGGCTGGAAGGACGGAATTTCGGAAGAAGGGCGAGGAGGCAACGGCCGACCGACGGGAGCAAAGGCTGGGAGCTGTGCGCAGAGGTCAGAAAAGCCTGGCGCACCGGCAGGGCGGAGGTGGGAGCTGGACGGCGCGGAAAGGCGCGCGGTAGACATTCCGCAGGGAGGGGCGAGCACGTGTGGGGCAGACGCGGCGCGACGGACAGGGTCACGCTTTTGCCGGGAGCGGGCGAAGGACACACGCTGCCCCCGGTGCCTCTCCCCGCCATCGGGCAGATTGGGGAGCGGTGGGAGAGCGCGGGGTCTGGGACCAGCTAGACCAGGCTCGCCATCTGGACTCCCCACTCACCGTCTCCTTATTTCCTGCGAACTTGTCAGCCCCACGCTGAGTCTTGGCTCCCCTCAACTGTAAAATGAAGATCGGGATGATGCCTGCGCCCGAAGAGTCGGCCAGTGCTTTCCCGGCGTGGGCATCATGCCCAAAGGCGAGTTTCCTTTCTCCTCTGGTCTCTCATCTCTGTTCTGACCCCAAGCTCGGGGAGGGACCAGGGGACAGAGGTCGGTGGCCTGCGCCCCAGCTCGCGGGCACCGTGCCCCCAACTGCTTCCTTCTCAGATTCTGAAGAGCGCCTTGAGGTCAGGGAAGGGAGCAGGGCTTACCAGCCCGGGGCAGAGACTCGGACCTCGGGACCCGCGCTGACGTAGGCAAGCTGGGTGACACCGGCAGCCCCTTCGCCTCTCGGAGCACTGGGGGATGGGCGACCAGCCCCCGGCGAGAGAGAGCCCGCTTGGGGCTTCCTATTTCGGGCGCTGGGGTGTGGGCCACGCCCCCGTCACGTGACACACGGGCCTTTTAAAGCGGCAGCGCGGGCTGGGAGCTGCTGGTCCCAGAGTCCTTGCGCGCGTTCCCTGTCGTCTCTTTCGCAACCTAGCCCAGCTTCACCATGGTGGACGCCTTCGTGGGTACCTGGAAGTTAGTGGACAGCAAGAATTTCGATGACTACATGAAGTCACTCGGTGAGGATGGCTAGGGATGCTGGGCTTGGGATGGATGCTGTGTTAGGGAGGGGATGGCCGCGTGCCCGGTCGGAGCAGTTCTCTAGCCCTGGCTAGATCTTGCACGCCAGCTGCATCCCTCCTGGTCAACGTTGGGGAGCCAGGGGACGCAGAGAAGGTGGGAGCCTGGGCTAGGGCATGCGAGACCTGTTGCGAGGGGGCTTTTTTTATTTTTATTTTTTTGCCTTCCCGAGGCGCATGTAGGATCTTGGTTCCCCAATCCAGGATGAACGGTTGCCCCGCTGCAGTGGAAGCGCGGAGTCCCAACCCCTGGATCGCCGGGGAATTCTGGGAGGGGACTTTAAGGGTCTGAGTTGGTCAGAGAAATTCGCAGGCAAGGAGGCGCCAGGGGGCAGCTGTGTCGGTTGATGTTGGGGGGCAGGGAGGCACTTTCGAGGAAGTAGGGCTTATGATCTGGAGGTAGGGGTGTGGGTAAAAGAGGAGCACTGATTGAAGGTGAGGAAGAAAAAGAGAAGCATGGGCAGTTTAGGAACTGGAAACTGAACCGTGAATGGGAATAGAATGGACGGTAAGTGTCCTAAGTAGGTTGTCCCCAGGAGAAAGATGGAAGGGGGAACAGCTGTTAACAGGCTTTGAGGAGGCGGTAAGATGGGCCTGCAGAGTTAGCAAGAACCCCTGCTCCTCTGTGTTGGGTTAGTTAGGGTAGATTGTTGCTGGAGGTTGCCCTCTTTCTCACCAACCAGCCTAGTGGTAGGGTAGGGCAAGAAGCCCCATCACCAGCTGCAGCCCAAGGATAACTGCTCATTGGGGAAGTATCTGGTTAGGGGGTGCAGCAAAAAGGCCTGGAGCAAAGCCAAGACCTAGTAATGGCAGGGAGGGTCTTTGGCCTAGGAGGGTGTGGTGCCAGGATGGAGGAGAATAAAGATTCAAAGAATCTTGCAGAGAAGGACTCCAGAGGTCCCCGTGCCTTGGTTCAACAGATGGAGAAGCCAAGAACCAGAAAGAGTAGAGACTTGTCAAATCAATTCCACAGCAGAGCTGATGTGAATACCTAGATTTCTAAATCCTAACAACTTAGAGCAGTTCCCACTATAGGCCCTGGGGGTGGGAGTAGTAAGAACTGCTTAATCCATCAATGACCTCAGCCCTTCCCCTTCTGATATGAGCTAGAGGGAGATCATATCACTTCTCTGGAATCTCCAGCTATGAGATTATCCCAGTTCCCCAAGCTGGGATGGGGAAAACTGGAATGTTCATGGTTGAGCTAGGTTCTACACCTTCCTCCCAGGGGATTGCTGGATTATAGTAGTTAACCAAGGAGGGAGGGGGTGGGGGCTTGACCCCAGGCACTTCCCACCTGTTCCTGACCCCTGAAATAAGGACCACAAGTGTGGACTTTTGAGGCCAAAGTGCTCAACTGCCCCTCTATGCCCAATGACTCCAGGAAGGCAATAATTCTTGGAGAAGTAGGAGGCCCAGGGCCGTTGTTAGGGAAGATGGGATGCCCAGAGCTAGCTCCACACCCCCAATCCCCCTAAGTCTCTCCCAGCAGACATTAGAACTGAAGACCTAGGTCCCTGAAGTGAGTTGCACCATCCTTACCACCCTTGATCTCTTATTTTGTCCCAACTTGGGTTAGGTCTAAGAATTCACCCAGACTGTTTGTTGTACAGATGGAAAAAATGAGAAGCCGTAGGGGAGAGAAGACCCCCCTCAGCTCTCAGTAAATAGCTTCAGCTTCATTTCTAAGTAGAATCCATCTCTTCCCGAGTCTCCTAATTCTGTAACTTGTTCTTAGCTCAGTCTCTGACTGACTCCACAGTGCCTTCCTTCCTCAAACACTCCACACCTCTGGGTAGGTCCTAAGTAAACAGAGCTCCTTGCACAGTGACAAGGTCCTGCTCTGTGCTGGGGAGTGGGATTAGCCTGACTCACTCTGATAACAGGTGCGTGATCAGTCACTCTGATAACAGGTGCGTGATCAGTCGTGTCCGACTCTGTGACCCCATGGACTGTAGCCCACCAGACTCCTCTGTTCTTGGGATTTTCCAGGCAAGAATACTGGGGTGGGTTGCTCTTTCGTTTTTCAGGGGATCTTCCTGACCCAGGGATTGAACCTGCATCTCTTGCACCTTCTGCATTAGCAGGCAAATTGTTTACCATGTGCCACCTGGGAAGCCCCTGATAACAGGGAGCAAGGCCAAATCCCTCAGTGGCCAGGCAGGGTGGGCCAGCAGCAGCACAGCTGCAAAGGGTGCCTGAGCCCCTCTTATGTTAAACCAAAAGTTCTCAGAGGACGAAGAGGCCCAGCCTAGTTAAGTGTCAGTGATCTCAGGCACACTTGGCGGCCTCAGGACCTGGATGAAGTGCATGCTGGGAGACAGGATGGCCCAGGAGGAATAGTGAACAGTTTTGGAGGCTAAATTCAAATTTAGATAAACCACTGATCCTTTCACTTTGGACAAGTCACTTCACTCTCAAAGCCTTGTTTGTAAATTAGGGATAATAAAGCCAACTGTTCAGGGCTCTTATAAACATTAAGTAAAACCACCCATGTAGCCAGGCACATCCAGGGACTTTCCACCCACCACCTCACCAAAGCCTCTGCCCTTGGAGAACAGCTCAGCAGAGACCGTTGGAAGGGGAAGTTGGAGGCAAAAGGCCAGATACCAGGGAAACCACGACCTGCAGGGCTCTTTGCTCCACGCTCTCTGCAGCATTGGGGAAGCCTTGCTGAGGCCGAGGGGAGTCCCCACAGGAGACCTGGACTGGAGGTCGACTGCCTACCACTTCGGGCCTCTCCTAAAACTGCACACTGAGACCAACACTCCCTCTTGCCTACCTCCTAGATCATGAAGAGGTTTTGAAAATGTATTTGTTATCATTTATGGGGGATGAGCACCAGTGCATCTCAGAGCAAAAGCTTTCAGAAGTGGAAAATCCTTGTCCATAGGTTCCAGAAGGCAAAGTCCACATTTCTTTTCTTTCTCCCTCAGCCTGTGCTTGGAAAGCTGCTCAGGTGCCCTGGACGAGAGCCTTGGGCTCCAGCCTTTTTAGCTGAGCAGTAAAGTGAGCTCTGCAGTCGAACATTCTAGATTTGAATTCCAGATTGGTGACCCTGGGCTTCAACTCACACTCAGTTTTTGCATCTGTAGAGATACTAGCATCAGTCCTGCAGGGAGACTGGAAGGACTGAATGAGACTTACACGTGTGGTTTTTACCACACAGGAGGCACTTAATGGTAACTTACTCTGCTCTCAGCTCTGCCACTGACTTGCTGTGAGGCACGCTTGTCCGTTAAGTTTCTCATGTCTCGTGGAATCAGCAATGTCTCTTTACTGCACAGAGCTAACGGGAAAAACTGAATTACAAAACAGCCAGGCAACGCCTTTTGAAAGTTCTCACCCGCCTCTTCTCCCTTCCCCACATTCTGGTCTAAGAGTTGGTCACTGGGCCCCTTGTACCTGGCCTCTCACTCCAGCTCATGCTCACACCCTTCCCTCTGCCTCAGGGGTCGGTTTTGCTACCAGGCAGGTGGCCAATATGACCAAGCCTACCACAATCATCGAAGTGAATGGGGACACAGTCATCATAAAAACACAAAGCACCTTCAAGAACACAGAGATCAGCTTCAAGCTGGGAGTCGAGTTCGATGAGACCACGGCAGATGACAGGAAGGTCAAGGTGAGTTGAGGAAGGGGCCATGGGGGGTGGAAGGCCCTGAAGGGGAATAGGGCGGCACCCTATTGTTGCACCTTGAGGGGTGGGCTGTTGTGGGGGATTGAAGATGGCCTGTGGAGTGCTGGGATGTCCCAAGTGTTAAAGAAATGAGTCCTGTCCTCTTGTTCTCTTCCGTCTCTTCTTGGGAAGCATCTACCTGTTGCCTGTGGGACTGGATTGCACAGAGCCAGGATATTCTGACCTCAGCGTCTACACTAGCTCCAGCTGGGTGACCTTGCACATGGACTGCAACGGCTCTGGCATTCCTTCTCCTTCCATAGATGGCGGGGAAGTTATGTGGACATGGCTGTGACCTCAAGTACTTTAGGAACAATGCCCAGAAGTCAGGGTCCTCAACTTAACAGGTGATCCTGGCTGCCAGGAGCCAAGGAGACAGCTGAGGACAAGAGGTGGAGACCTACTCAGATGCTTCTTCAGCCTCCACCTCCTAGGCTTGGTCAGTGACCCTGAGAAACCATTTCCAGTGCTGCCAGCCTACAAGGAAGAAAAGTTATCTTCTGGATGGAGCACTGTCTTTGGTGTGTGTGTAGGATCTTCTCACCAAGCCTCCACCCCTCTCCCTCGAGGGAGGGAGAGGGCATCCACCTCCAGTCTCAGGACTTGTCTTGGCAGCTTGTCTGCAGGTGGCTGTCTTGGCTGCTTGCCTCAGGCCTCCCAGCCTGAGCCAGGCATGGGAGAGAGAAAACAAAGGGGTTTTGCCCTTGACATTGTGTTCCTCTAGCAGTACCTTTCCACTAGACCCTATCTCTTCTTCCTCACAGCTGCCCCGGAGGACAGGAGAGGGTCTAGTATCCTCCCTGTGGAGGAAGCTGGAGCCCAGCCCAGGATCACATAGGAAGCTGGCAGCATAGAGGGGATGGTACCCCAAAATCACAGGCCACCTTGGAGAGAAGTGCTTACCCTACCATATACCTTCACCTCCTTGAGCTAGCCTATCTTCTTGAAGGGCATGAACCCCAATTAAACCCAATAGTAGTTCTCTGGGATGCCTCGGCTAACAGTAACTTGCTCTGAATGGACCAAAAACTAGAGGTATGGGAATGAGGAGGAAGGTGGTGGTAAGGGTGCACGTCTACCACCCCTCAAGCCCCAACCACATACACACAGCCTCTTTAGATCTGCTGGTCAGTCAGGGTCCCCCAGCCTGCCTTAAAGCCCCCAAATTTCTAGAGAGACCTGGGAAAAGTTGCCACGAGAGCCAGCTGATGTAGGCTGGCAGCACCCAGAAGACGAAGTGGACATTTGACCAGGGCTGTGGAACACCCCAAGGGACCCAGTCCCAGGACCTGGCAGTTGATGCTTACTTAGCTGGAGGGGAGAGGTCACATGATATGGACCAAGGGGCATAGGAATATGGACAGGACAGTCTTCATTTTCCAATACCTCGCATCTCCAAGGTTCTTTTAGACACTATGTGTGATCACCATCAGGGAGTCTCAGGATTGTTCCTCCTCACCGGTCTTTCCCAGGGATTAGGCTGGTACCCGCCTCCTGTATCTTGGAGGGACTGGGGCTGTGGGCATCACCCAGGGTATGGGATAAGTGCCCATCTTGAAGGCTGGTGGCACTTCTCAGAGCCAGACTGACTTCACTGTACTGCCTGCTTCTCCCTTCTTGCCCAGCAGCTGAAGGCCCCTCTTCCAGCCAAGCAGCAGTGGTGAGCTAGGTGGCTCGTGGGACTAGGCTGGAGGTGGGCTGGCTGAGCTCTGGCTCTCACACCATCAATAGTTCGGGTTAGAGGCTAAGTCCCTTGTGGCCCCGGTGACCAGACCTCTTCCTGCCCCTCAGTCCCAGCTCAGATCTCAGCTCAGGCCTCTACCCTCTTTCCACAGTCGATCGTGACGCTGGATGGCGGCAAACTTGTCCACGTGCAAAAGTGGAATGGACAAGAGACATCACTTGTGCGGGAAATAGTTGATGGGAAACTCATTCTGGTAAGATGGATTAACTTTGAAGCCTTACCCAACTGGTTTCTACTGTCCCTTCAGCCAAGCCTGTTTTGCAAAGCCAAGGTCATGCCCTGTGACCAATGGAGGGTGGAGGCAGGCCTGGGTGGTATTAGGGCTCGTAATACCGTGGCTTTGGGCTTGTACATGCCTCTGCGTAAATCTCAGCTTATAGGGTACATGATTTTGGACAAGTTGCCTTCTCCAAGTCCAACTGTAAAGTGGGTTCTAATAACGACAACCTTGTAGGACTGCTGGGAAGTCTGAAGGAGAGAGTGGTTGCAGAGCACAAAGCCTCGCTGGTGTGGGAGGACTGCAGTAGGCACACTCCACAGCCTTCGTTTCATCCTCTGCACGGGCCCACTGCCTTGCCCAGGGAGAGGTAGAAAGCATGGCCAAATGTGATTCCAGCCCCGTAGGAGAGGCTCCCCTCTCCTAACCCTTTGGGCAGGGACAGGCTGGTGATGGATTGGGCCCCGACAGCATAGTCCTTTCTACTTCATTCCAGGCTCACTCACCTCCTCTCACTGCTTTCCATGCCCGGCCTATTCCAAGTACCTGACTGAGGCCTGGGTTGAAAGCAACAACCAGGCTGTCAGATCTGTCTAAGGACCTCACTCAAAGAATGTAGCCTTGACTGAACACCCCCCAAGGGTAGAGACAGCAGCCACTTGTGGTCTCTGCCTCCTTATTCTGTAGGGTCTCAGGTTTTCGCCTCAGCATCTTCATTGCAGACATTCTTGGGTCAGTGTAACCTGCTCACTACATTCTTCCACTCACACAGGGCAGGGGTCCCTGCAGTTTAGAGTGAGGTACCTGGCTCTGCTGGGAATGTGATATACAGGACCAAATACTCGCTGGGCAATCAGGCGATGGTAAAACCATGGGCCTGGCTGTATGATGCCAGGCAGGATGATGGGGGCTCTGGCCTCTGGCCCTAGCACCACCCTAAGTTTGGGAAAGAATGGAGAATAGATGGCCTAAGATAGTCCTTTCCCAAGAGTCTCTGGACATTTTTATTCACCTTTTCATCTACTATGTACAGGCACCTTCTTAGACACTAAGGATGGAAAGGAATGGTACAAGGGAGAGAGAAACACTCTGGGATCTTGAAGTTGCCTCCTCCCTGAAAGCTCATTTTCCCAAATCTCTGCAAGAGGAATTACAATACCTAACTTAAAGGCTTGGGTGGATTCCCTATCTGTCAAGTACCTGGCGTATAAGTAGGTAGGCAATAAATGAAAATTATTAATACAGCAGCAGCGGGCTCTCCCCATCAGAATGGAGTGTTCCCAGTACCTTCCATGCCCACACCCTTGCCCTAATCTGACTGTCTTTCCTCAGACACTCACCCATGGAAGCGCAGTCTGCACTCGTACCTACGAGAAAGAGGCATGACCTGCCCTCTCCCTCCACTGACTGCTGTTCTGCCAGTCGGCTGCTCCCGGACTCGGCACCAGACCGCCTCCTTTTCCTCCTCTGGCATTTCGTATAAATCCACCTTGACTGGGGAAATTCTCCTGGGGTCAGGTGGCACCAGCCTGGACCCAGTTCCGTTCTCATTGTGTCTGTTTTTTTAACTGCATCCAAAGGGTGCTCTGAGGTCAATAAAGCAGAGCCAAGGCCACCCAGTTGCCTTTCCGCCTTTGGTGACATGATTCTGGGAGTCTCAGTTTCTGTGTGTGTCAGAGAGTAGGCAGAGAAGACTGCTACTCAGGAAGCGGCATCGGATGAGAGACTGAATGGACAGCCTCAGGGACAGTAACAGTTGATCACCTCACACGTACAAAAAATAAAACAGCTGTACCCACACCCTGCCTTCACAGTGCCCCCCACCCCCCTCCAAGTCCAAATGAGCTAGTCCAACCTGGACTAATTGCTCAGTGACAGGACTTCCGAACCATCACCCCTGGCCCCCCTGTACTGAATGCCGGGGGTCTGGACAGTTGCTCCTCTCTGTGGAATGCTGTGGTCTCTCTTCAGAACACAAGATCCAGGCTTGTGCCAGTGGTGGTGGGAGAAAATGCCCACTGGCCAAGATGACTGCTGAGCTTCTGCATATGTGCCAGGCCATGACTCATGGTTACAAATTCTTACTGGTTCTCCAATCAGCCCTGGGGGAGAGGTCATCTGATCATTACAGAAGTGAGGGCTTATAAGTGATCGCCTAAGAAGGCTGTGACCTGCTAGTGCCTCTGGCTCTGTACCTTAGCTGGGCCACTCTCCAAGGTCTGAAGTGACATATTAAATGTTTTCCTGTCCCCTAATGCAGCCTCAGTGACTTTTAAGTCTGTAAGTTTACAGGAAGAAGGATTATACTAAAAAGGACTCTCAGCAAGTTCAAAACCAGACACACTTCCATTTAGTACCAGGAATTTAAGCAGAAACCTGAAATGGGACCAACTGACTCACACTGTAGTAAAGACAAAGTAAAGCAATGATTTCGGCTTGAGCTGTCTGGTTCAGTGGTCTGGCGGAATGTCACAAACAAGCTAAGTCACTGCAAACAATGTTTTTCTGGCTGTGACCACTGGCTGTCACTTCTAACATAGCAGAATCATGTTGGGGGATGGAAAAAGTGAGCACCACTTCTTACCGTGTTCTCCCTCATACTGCCAATCTCCCTCTGCCCGTGTGCTGGATGTAACAGAGACCATCCACCAATCAGGCCAGGGTAGGCAGGCCAATAGGGAGGGGCCAATCACTCTGTTCAACTATAGGCAGACTCACCCCCACAGCAGTTCCTGTGGCTCTAGCCTGGATGGCTCTGGCAGTGGCAGCTGGAGAGGGTAATACGACCTCCTGCTGAATGAAGTTGGGTGAATGAATGGGTGAGCTGCAGGGGTCACTTGCAAAGGGACCAAGAGTGATAAGGAAACAACTCATTCAGGCAGATGCTTTTGATACCTAACTCCCAGACTTGCCTGTGGCACAAGGGGACGCCATCTCCCATGGGAGAGGAGAGGGTGGGAGGCCATGTTCTCACACTGAGTCTTTCTAGGAGCCAGAGCTTCAAGGCACAGGCTCCGGATTCCTTCTCTCAACCACCCTCTCTACTCTCCACTCTCACTCCTTGTGCTTCTTCTTGTGCTTCTTCTTCTTTTTCTTCTTCTTTGCTGCCTTGCTGTCCTTTGACGTGTGCCTTGCCCTCTTGCCTGTATCACTCTCAGAGTCTGAGCTGTCAGAGTCAGATGACTTCCTGTCTCTATGTTTCTTTTTCTTCTTTTCCTGAAAAAAAAAAAAAATTAAGAACTCAACATTATGTGTATTTGCTTTAAGAAAACATGGCATGTAATCATTAGGGGATAACAATAAATTAGAAAACATTCATAATAAAATAAATTACATCTTTAAGTACTAACAAGAAAAAGTGCTAAAAACAAATGGAAAAGGGTCAAGTCATAATGCAGTATGTATTCTAAATGCCAAGGTATATAACATATATACATACATATGTAATATACATTTACATATATAAATTAAAATATTTTGCACAGTAAATTATAATGCACATATTTAACATACTTGAATAGACTTAAAATCACAGAAAACAGTGAAAAGGACACAAACAGGCAACAAGTGTTAGCTCAGGAATGAACTGAATACAGGGAAGCTGGGGCCCTTCACTGTCCTTTTCCATTTTTTAAAAATAAGCATTTACTACTTTCATTTTTAAAAAGCACACTATATTAATGCTGAAAGTCAAGTCCTTAGAGATCACCTGGTCTCTCAAGAGACAGTACCTCACATGGCGGAGAATAAGAGAATAATAGATTGAGAACTCCTGACTCCCAGACTGGTTTCTATCAGACCCAGCTGCCCGGGGAAATAACCGCCATCAACTAATAAGGCCCTACCTGCTGTCCTTGAATATTTATCATCTCTAACTTTCACAACCAACCTTAACAAGAATAAACTGATACAGAACTTTCTCAACACTCCACCCACCCCACCATGCTGCCAAATTAACAGCACAAATGCACACAAAGAATGAGACACAGACCCGTGGGCTTCTGTAGGGTACTCAGAGCAATTTTTAAGCACTGCATAAACTTTTCCTTGGATTGCAAATGTGTATGTTGCCTTGGTAAGGTTTCTAAGAAGAAGAGATTATGGGAGGAAAAAAGACAGTAGAAGAGGACAAGGCTGCTGCTCCTCCCATAGGCTTCCAGTCAGCATCCTGAGAGCTGTGAAGTCTACCTGATAGACCAGGTCTTGGGAGCTGGCTGTGAGAAAACAGTGGACCAAACACAGAACCAGGTGTTAGACCCAGACTTGAGTTCTGGCTTTGCCACTTACATTACTCTTATGTAACCTTGGGCAAATCATTTTACCTCACTGTGGCCTAGTTTCCTCAAATGCAAAACAGAGATAAGATCAGCACCTATGTCACACGGCTATGATGAAGATTTAAAGAGACAACATCTGTGGCTGGAGAAGCTGAAAACCACTTGCCCCTGATCAGACAGGCAGGGCTGGGATCTGCATATAGATCATTTGACTGGAAATCTGAATTTTCCTCTGTAGCACATGGCCCTCTTCCTGTACAGTGATGGGAGGCCTCATGGTAAATGGTGGTCAGAACAACAATTTTGGAACAAGACAGAATTAGGTTCAGATTTCAACTCTGCCACTTACTATGTGACTTAGAACAAAATACTTAACTTTTTTGAACTTAAGTTTTCTTTTCAGTAAGCTAAAAATAATACATGCCTACTTCAAAAGATGCTATGAGGATTAAACATGGTAAGAACAGTCATTAACTATAGCTTCTGACACACAGTAAGTACTCAGTGATAGCCAGAAGTATCATACTATTCTCTCAGAGAATTCCCAGGATGTTCTGACAGTCTCTGGCCAAGTATCTACAGCAGATAAGTCAAAGTTCTGAGAGAAAATTTTGGTTTAAAATTCTTTCTTGGAGTCTCCAGTGGAGCAGAGAGAGGGGAAGTTTGCCAGGCCCTGTTACCAAGCTGTTACCATGTTACCAAGATGTAGGAACGTGGCTGGGAGAAGCTGAGAGTCAGCAGATCCATGATTTGGCTTATGGTGTTGCAATCTCCTGGATGGCAAGATCATGGATGCCAATCACAGGCTATATAGGCTTGGCAGCCTTGCCAGTTTCTGCCCCTCAGGTAGGACAGAGTCCTGGAAAAGTACATAAGCAAGTGCAGAGTCTGGCACCAACTCCCATAAGCCTGGCCCACCCTGGATAAATAAATGAGAAAGGAGAGTAATAATGCTACTTTACAACCAAATAGCACTTTAGTTTACCTAGCTTTCCACATCTCATATCTAGTAATATTAATCTGGTAAGGTCAAAATTCAGGAATTATTATTGCCATTTTACAGAGGTAAAAACAACTGAAAGAAGTGAATTGAGCTACACCAAAGACAAGAACAGGGCTTCCCTTGTAGCTCAGCTGGTAAAGAATCTGCCTGCAGTGCAGGAGACTCTGGTTCGAGTCCTGGGTCGGGAAGATCCCCTGGAAGGGATAGGCGACTCACTCCAGTATTCCTGGGCTTCCCTGGTGGCTCAGACAGTAAACAATCTGCCTGCAATGCTGCAGACCTGGGTTTGATCCCTGGGTTGGAAAGATCCTCTGGAGGAGGGCATGGCAACTCACTCCAGTATTCTTGCCTGGAGAATCCCCATGGACGGAGGAGTCTGGCAAGATGCAGTCTATGGGGTAGCAAAGAGTCGGACATGACTGAGCAACTAGGCACAGCACACACAGCAAAGACAAGAACATTAAACTTTCTAATCCAGAGTTTAGCATTATTTGTACTTTGCTTTCTCTCAATGATGAATGCTCAAAAGGAGGAAAGAGAACAAATCACTAGAGAACCCTGGCATACTAGAATGTGGCCTCTAGCTAGCAAGGAGGACTCAGGGAGATGGTCTTCTCGATGTCAGTCTTGACATAGAGGCTCTTTTGCACTCTGAACAAAGAAAATCTAGTCCTCCAGCAGGCTGGCACCATTTTCACTGTGTGTCTAATCTTCAGCTGGAGAAAAAAACTTACTTCATATGTTGTAGTTCAAGAGAAAAGTTGGGAGTTGGGGTAGAGACGAAGATGGAAAGTCAGGGTAAAACTAGCCTCTGGTCCCTCAACTGCATTCAATGGGAAAGAGGAACATAAGACAAAGGGTAGTGAACCAGGGGTGTGAGCTCATGGCAGACAGGCCAGAAGGACAGGGAAAGAAGGCAATGCTCAGAACCACTCTCAGAAAGGCACACACCCTGTGCTACAGCAGTTAGTCCATCCACGTTCTCTATAGTTCTGAAAAAGGATAGCAGTAACCTAGTGTGAGATAAAAACAAAAACTGAGAAAGGGGAAATAACAGCAGTTAACACTTACTGAGTACCTAGTTTTCTAGATATTGGGCTGGGCACTTAGCGTACGTACCTCATGACCTTCACAACAAACCTATTAAGTGGGTATAATCATCTCTATATTTTTAGGAAAGAAAATTCTAACTTCAGAAAGGCTTACTGAGATACAGTGCCTTGCCCAAGTGATAGAACCTGGATTCAACTCAGGCTGGGCCCCAAATCAGATGTTCTTCACATGGCTTCCCAGCTGACTCGGTGGTAAAGAATCTGCCTACCAACGCAGGAGATGTTGGAGACACGGGTTCGATCCCTGGATCGGGAGGATCCCCTGGAAGAGGAAATGGCAACCCACTCTAGTATTCTTGCCTGGAGAATCCCATGGACAGAAGAGCCTAGGATGCTACAGTCCATGAGGTTGCAAAAAGTCAGACATGACTGAGCAAATCAGGTGTTCTTTATAGCTCCGTGTATATTAAAGGCAGCACCTAAATTAGCATTTTTTAACCCAAAGGCACTGATTAGCCAGAAATCAAGCAAGCAAGCATATTATTCTTTTTTATTCTTTTTTTTTTTTTGGTTGCACTGGGTCTTCGTTCCTGCACACAGGCTTTCTCAAGTTGCAATGAACAGGATCTGCTCTTTGTTGCGGTGCACAGGCTTCTCATTGTGGTGGCTTCTCCTGTTGCCAAGCACAGGCTCTAGGCACACAGGCGTTAGTGGTTGCAGCACAGAGCCTCATTAGTTGTGGTCTGTGGGCCCTAGAGTGTGTGGGCTCCCGTAGTTGCAGCTTGCAGGCTCTAGAGAGCAGGCTCAGTAGATGTGGCACCTTGGCTTAGCTGCCCACAACATGTGGAACCTTCTGGGACCAGGGATCAAACCCATGTCCCCTGCACTGGCAGGCCGATTCCTATCCACCGTGCCACCAGGGAAGTCTTTTTCTATTTATTCTTAAGAATTATTCTTGAGAAAGCACTGGTTATTTATTCTCTTATTCTTGAGAAATGACTGATTCTCAAGAGAAAATCTGATTCTCAAACTGCTTCTCCAGGGTGAATTTCTGTAAAGTAGGATGGAAGGTGATTCCTGGTTAAGAATTTGCCTATAAGCCCCACTTTATCAAAGCTGGAAAGGGTAAGACCGGAAGGAAAAGGCTTATTAATCAACTCACAAATATTTACTGAACTTTACTACCTACAAAGCATTTTAGAAAGCCATAGTTACATACAATGTTGCTTAGGAGATAAGAACACACAGATTTTTAATATAATTCAGACAAACAGAGTACCTTCTAAAACCATAGTAGCAGATGCAAAGTAAACACATTTAGTAGCTCAGTAGTAGTGACGGGCACCATTCTTCCAAACCTGAGCTAACTTCGTCAAACAAGGGAAAGAATAACTCCCTATAACCATACAGTACACTCATTCAACAAATATTTGTTGAGTACCTTCTATAAGCCAGGAATATCTACTAATTTATCTCTTGTAATACTTGAATGATGTTAGAAATCAGGGATCAGAAGCCTTCAAGGTACACACTAATCAAGGAGAAACACTAATTAAGATACTAGGCAGTCAATGGAAGTGATGTAAGAAAAGTACAAGTCACATACCATGGACACATAAGGGAAAAAATCAATTATATCTGAGGAATTTGGAATGGTCTCATGAAGGACAGGTAATGTGTTGTACTTCTAAAGGATGAATATGGCTTTGGCAGGTGGAGTAGTGGTGGTAATGCTGATGGAAGAAGGGAAGTGAGGGTCTTCCAGACAGAGGGAAGACAGATGAGGTAAATGCTTGAAAGATCCCATGTGGCTTATTTACCATGTACTGGGTCCCATCACTTCTTTCTTACTCAAAGACATCAGTCTAAGAATTGTCCCCTCTC